AGCTATAAATTGAGGGCCTCTTTCATCAGATTTAGCTACCCAGTGTCCCAAGGCCTCAGGAATCCCTTTCTTTCTCATTTTGCTTGGGTTGGGGGGAAGGGGTGGAGTAGACAGGGGACAGTTTTGAGACAAGGTCTCACTATGTAATTCAGGCTGACCTTGAACTCACTATGTAGCCCAGGCTGGCTTTGAACACAAGTGATCCTCCTTCCTCAGCTTCCCGAGTGTTGAGAATACAAGTGTGCACCATCACACTGAGCAGGAACCCTTTCCATTTTGCCAGAATGCTGACCTCCTGTTACCCAGTTTATGTTGCTGTGAATTCCACACACAGTATCTTCTCCATTCACGATAGCAGATCTTGAGGAGGCCAGAAAACAGCCCAGGCCTAAAAGAGGGCTGGGCCTCTCCTGGTGGGACCCTCACCAAGAGAGGCCTGGTGTCCTTAAGCACCACTCCAGCCTTCTGTCCCCTGGTGAGAGTTCTCACTGGGAAGTGGCATCAGGGTGATACCATGACCTGACCAAGCCTACTGGCAGGCCTAAAGTGTTGTAAGCAGTGACTTCTGGCAGGTTCTCTTGGGATTCAACCAGTAGTCACTGCCACCACACCCAAGGTCCCTTGTCCTCCTTTGCCCTGGTCATCTTCCTTGCTTCCCCTCAAGGAATCTTGGAGTACCATTTTTGGGCAACCAGAGACTTCTTTTCTGCCTGCCGTTTCCATCCACAGAGATCTGCTCAGGCCCAGGGCCCTGCATCTACTTTGTAATGGAGTTGGGGCCCAGCTGCCTCCTCCTAGAATGTCCTGAGCCCCTCCAGCAGGCCACAAACCCTCATCTGGGCAGTCTAGTGTTGTGAACCTCTCCCTGACCTGTACCCACCCCTGCCCCATTCTGCTGTGTGGTTTCTTACAGTGCTCTTTATTGTTCTCATAGGGAGTTTTGTTTTTTGAGACAGGGTCTTGCTATAAAGTCCACATTGACCTCAAATTTGCCATACTCCTGCCTCAGCCTCTTAAGTGCTATCACTAAGTGGCAGGCTCAGCCCCCTTTTTTCTTTCTTGACAGAGGATCTCACTGTGTAGTTCATGATGGACTTGCAATCAGTGGGTAGTTCAAACTGATCTTGAACTTGTGGCAATTCTCTTGCCTCAGTTTCCTGAATGCTGGGATTACAGTGTGAATCACCTAGCCCAGCTCTTTTGGTTTTTCCGATAGGGTCTCATTAAGTTGCCCAGCTCCAAGGGTTTTGTTTGTTTGTTTGTTTGTTTGTTTTTTCTTTCTAAATCATTATTTCACTGGATGTCATGGATTTTTTTTTTTTTTTTTTTTTTTTGAACTGGGGATTGAACTCAGATCCTTGTGTTTGCCAGTCAAGTGCTTATCCTACTGAGCCATCTCCCCGGCCCGATGTCATGGATTTTAAGAGCTATAAATTTGTAATTCTTTTTCCCTAAAGAAGTTCACATACCATCTGGGATATAGCTCAGTGGCACAGCACCTGCCTGACAAGGGTGAGTCCTGAGTTCGATTTATTATGTATACCCCCCAAAATAAAGAGGCTAATGTGGCAACTTAAATAAAGAGGCAACTTAAGTGATTTGGTGAAACTCAGTAAATTAAAAGCTGGGGATATAGCTCAATGTGAAGGCTCTCAGCTCAATCATTAGCACCGAAAGAGAAAAGCCAGGCCAGGCATGATGACCACACCTGTAATCCCAGCACTGAGGAGATTGATGTAGGAGAGCAATAAGCTCACAGCTAACCTGGGCTACTGAGAAAATTCAAGACCAGTTTGGATTACATAGCAAGACACAGGCTCAGAGATACAAACGAAAAGAAACAGTTTAGCTGGATGAGTGTGAGGGGTCTCATTATTTGTCTCCCTGAGTTGATGTTATTTTCTCTCCCCCTCTTCCATGCTGGGCCTTGACTTGGTGCCAGGTCTTCTGAAACCCTACGTGCATCTGCATTTCTACATTGTCAAAGTTCAAGTCCTAGTTAATCTTCAGCCTTTAAAGGCAGTGGGATTTTCTTCTGTGAATCAGAATTTTCTAGTGCTTCCTGATGGGTAGTTATATAAAGGATACACCAGTAGATCCCAATGGCCTCCTTTGATTTAGACCTAAGTCACAAAATCACCCCTTATTTAATGTGTGTCTAATTTCAGGCTGATCTTTGCTGCCAGTGCCTCACTGGGTCTTTCCTATGCTACTGTGTGAGGTTCTATCCTCATCTTATATATGAGGACACAGGTCTGAAGAGGGAGGCAACTGGCCCAAAGTGGTAATTTTCTCTCATCAGTATGAGCTTTATTGCCGTGTAGCCTTGCCCTGTTCTAATTAGTCCCTGAGTCTTTTCTTTGTAGTGCTTGGTATAAAATTCGGCCTTGGGTGTGCTGTACCACCAAGCTTACCCTTATCCTACCTGACCCAGCCCCAGTCCTCTGTTCCCACGTCCTAACTCTTCTTCCAGGAGCTGTCTCCTGAGGGTAGAGATCCCATCTTCCACCACCCCTGAAGCCCTGTCACTGAGTGACCAACTGGCCCTCCGTTGGACTGAAGTTGCTGAACTAGATGTTTCTGAGTCTAAATCCCCTATGGGATAGCCTGTTCATTCATTCCACAGATATATTTAGTATGCACCTAATATATGCCTGGCACTGTTTTAGGCCTTAGGGACAAATCAGTGAATAACATGAAAATCCCTGTCTCTTGTAGATTTTATACCCTACCTCAGAAGAAGACAGATATGTGGTGTTAAGATATAGACACTAAGGAAATAAGCAGGGGAAAGTTGATAGGAACTCTTGGGAAGAGTTATAATTTTTAGACTGAGGAAGGTCTCACCAAGGAGGTGACATCTGTAAGCCTTCAGCTGTCTACCTCCAAGGACCTTTGCCTGCCCTCACCTGGGTGACATCCACAGTGGGACTGTAACCACCAAACACTGCCACCCCAAGACTCCATAATAAACGCCTTCAGACTGATGTATTGGCACCTGCTCATGGAGAGTCCTGGGTGGGGGAGTCCTGTGAGGGAAGGGAGCCTTAGCTTAGGAAGGAGCTGTGGGGTGGGAGCCACCCCTCCTCCCTGCCTCTCTCCCCCACAGAAATTGAGTCTCACATTACAAAGCAAGAAGATATACTTAATGGCAAAGAGAATGAGATTAAGGAGTTGCAGCAACTTATCAGCCAACAGAAACAGATCTTCAGGTGAGGGTTCCTGGCCCAGGCCAGGGCTGTTGATGGAAGTGGGGAGCCTGACTTGTAGCCCCTACTTGGAGCTGCACACTGTCCACGACCAGCTGGCTCCGTTACAGGAATCATATGTCTGACTTCCGGATCCAGAAGCAGCAGGAGAGCTACATGGCCCAAGTGCTGGACCAGAAGCATAAGAAAGTCTCGGGGATGCGGCAGCCCCGCAACCACCAGCGCCTCAGGGAAAAATAAAATGATCGTCGCTTTTCTATTTTTTTGGCTCTAATGCCCGACCTCTGTCTTCTCTGCTCTAGGAAGCTCCCAACCCTGCCCTTTCCATCCTTGTGGGTCACCTCATCCTGGAGCAACAGGGTAGGGAAAAAGGCAGCAGCCACTTCTGTTTACTTGCCTGCCTGGCTCCCAGGCCTCAGTGACCTGAGAGTCAAATCACCAGGCACTGGATGGAGGGCACAGGCCTTGTGGTACCACCTGCCGGGCTGTGCCTGGGCCCAGAGGGGATGCTGCTCCAGCCATCAGCCCCTGCTACTTCTTCCCTCCCACAGGTGACTGTGGGGTCTGTGGAGTGGGCAGGTCTTCCTCGTATAGTGGGCACTGCCCTGTGTTTGAATGCTTTTCTATAGGGGCAGAGGAGATAGTTCAATAGAATAAGTGCTTGCTGGGCAAGCGCAAGGGCCGTTCAATCCCTGGTTCCATAAAAACAAATAAATCAATCCTCTTCTGTAAACAGCCTGGGTACCCTAGCAACATCCATCAGACCCAGTGCACTCCACTAAATTGAACTTTGCCAACTGGGAATGGCTGTGTGTGTGTGTGAGAGAGAGACCTCTGACTGACCATTTCAAAGACGGTCTGGGAGACCAGTCATGTCATGACCACATTCCTCATGAGTTTCATTTACACCTTCACCTTCCTCAAACCAAGGCTTGTTTTCATAAATTAGAGAAAGGGGAAATGAAGCGCTGTGTCTGTAAAGTGAGGAAAGGTCTGGCAAAGGGCTGTGGTTTGCTCAAGCTGAACTAGCAGCCTGATGTGATAGGCTACAGCCATTCACCACTGATGAACCCCAGGGGAGCATGCGAACACCACAGCCAGGGCCCGCAAGGCTGCTACAGTTGTGTGTAGCCTCTGGGCACTGTGGGCACAGGAGCCAGCGCTCTGGCTTCAGGGCCAGGGGAGGCCTGAGTCATTGCAGGACCTTGAAGCCAGAAGTTTAAGGGCAAATGGTGCCCATTATCATAAGACAATGACAGCTGGTGTCTGCTTCCCACCAGTGCCAGACTAGTGCAGGAAAGGGCTTTGGAAACGTCTAGACACAGGCACTGTGCAGAGGGCTGTCATTGCCTTGGGGTGCATAAAAGGGGACCACAGGCTTTCCAGACTTGTTTTGGGTGCTCTGACAGCTTGTGAAGGCTAAGCTGCCACTCCAGGCCCTCTAATAGGCCTCACGGAGGGCAAAAGCTCGCCTGGAGACTCCAGCACATTTTTTGGGGGGTGGGGGGACGACCACTAGTTCTACCAAAGGTGGGGGGATACCTCGGGTCAACAAAGATCAAGAGCTCTACCTGGAGTTCCCAGGTGTGTGTGGTGGGGAGTGTTCCCCTGGAGTGATGACAAGTCCGGGCTGGAACTGTGGGGAAAAACATTGCTGGCAAGACATAAATTCCCTCGCATGGGGCCAGGGAGATGGCTCAGTTAGCGCTTGTGCAAGGGTCTGAGTTCAAGAGTTGAAGTGAGGACCAAGAGCTGGACCAAAATGCCCTCACCTGCGACAGGTGCTGCCCTTCACTTGTTGGTCAATCAAGGCCTGGAGCCCCACCCCAAGTGCGAAAGGGGTCGGTTCTTTAGAGGGGCTCACAGGGAAGGTTCCCAGCCCAGATCTCACCTGCTGCCAAAGCCTCTGGCTAGGGAGTGGACGCGGCCGCTTTAAGGCACTCTGCCCCCCACGGCAACTCGGGCGGGGCGGGGACAGAGCAGGCGCCACTGGCGGAGGCACTGCGAGGGAGGTAGAGCGCTCGCGGAGTCCGGCCCACCATGCTGACCGCACTGGTCCCGCCAGCCCTTCCTGGGCTCCCAAGGCACCTGCCCGCGGCCCCCGCGCGGCGCCAGGACTCCTCGGGTTCGTCGGGCTCCTACCACACAGCTCCGGGTTCTCCCGAGCCCCCCGACGCAGAGCCAGACGCAGGTTGGGCAGATTGGCCCTGGGTGGCCCCCGGGCGGGGCGCGGGCGTGCAGCCTCGCCTGTCCGTCAGCGCCCAGAATAGCAGCCAGCGGCCTTGGTCGGGCTCGGGTTTCCCGCGAGGCCGGGGCTCCGGCCCGCCGCCGCCTCAGCCCCAGCTGCGCGTGCTGCCGTCGGGGGAAATGGAAGTCATCTTCGCCGCCGGGCCCCTGTTCAGCCGCTCAGACGTGGAGGATCATGAGGTGCAACAGCTCGCCGCGCAGCCACTCAGCCCATCGTCGCTAAACACTGCGTCTCCAGTCACCGCCTCACCGCGGGCCCCGGCCCCCGACGGCGGATCCCGCTGGGCCACCTACTTGGAACTGCGTCCCAGCGGGCCGAGTCCCGCAGCCTCTGCTCAGTTTGAGTGCGTGGAAGTGGCGCTGGAGGAGCGCACTGCGCCGGTCAGGTCGCGGACGGTGCCCAAGCGACAGATAGAGTTGCGCCCCCGGCCCCAGAGCCCTCCTCGGCAGGCCTGCACGCCGCGCCCTAGGCTGCTCCTGCGCACTGGCTCCCTGGATGAGTCTTTGAGCCGCCTGCAGGTAGCCGCGGGCCTGGTGCAGACGGCTCTAGCCAGAAAACTGAGTCCCGCTACCCCACCCGCGAGTAGCGCCACCGTGAGGCCTACGGAGCGGCCAGAGCCCAAGACTGGAGACACAGCACGCAGCACCCGGTCTTGGCCACCCCGCACACAAGAGAGTTCAGGCCCCACCAGAGCCCCACGGCCTTGGCCCAGCCTCCGTGAGCGCGCTATTCGGCGCGACAAGCCTGCGCGGGGAACCGAGCCTCTGGGTCCTGTTAGTTCCAGCATCTTCTTGCAGTCAGAGGAGAAGATCCCGGAGGTACGCAACCAGCGACCCAAGACTCGGCTCCCCCAAGAGACTCCAGGTCGAACAGTCCGGAGGGAACCGAGTCCATCTTTGGAGTCTAGAGTTCCTTGGGAGGCACCGATTAGGGCTGAGAGACCTAAGAGCCGGTCCCCACCCGGCCAGGCTCCCAATGGGGCGGTGCGGGAACCTCGCAGCCCGTCCCCTCAGAATCTGTCTCCGTGGAATCGGGCTGTCTGGAGGGTGAGTAGCCCTCGGTTCTGCGAAGCATCTTGCACGTCGGAAAATCGGAATCCAGCCGTCGAGGAATCTGCCAGCAGGAGGAGCCCTTCCCCACCAACTCTCTCCGGGTGGAATCAGGGTGGAGCGAGAGCAAGAAGGAGCCCGTCCCCTGAAGTTCCTTCCCAGTGGGAGGTTCCCCCCCTGGCAGTCCGGGGTAACAATCCGTCCCCACCAGCGTTGTGCCCAAGGGACGAGCCAGCTCGACCTATCGGAACGCCGAGCCCATCGCCCCAGGAGACCTGGGGACCCAGTGTGCAGGGCTCTTCCTTATTTAGGCGGGAAGTTATGAACGGTGTAGCTCAGGAGTTGGCACTGCCTACGCCACCCACACCTGGGACCCCAGAACTAACAGAGGTGCATAGCCTGCCCTCGCGGAAAATCCCAGATCTTGACTTCCGCGGTAGCCAGCCCTCACCAGACGCAGATGCACCCGAGCCGCCCCGCAGTCACCTCGTGGGCACCCAAGTAGCCGACGCGCGCCCAGGAGTCTTGGGCTCTGGGGAAGCAGTCTCTGAACGCCCGCGCGTGGCCATTCCGCGGCCGCGAGATGTGCGCAAGATGGTGAAGACCACCTATGCGCCCAGCTTCCCCGCAGAAAGCCCAAGTTCGGGAAAGCCTGCTCCACCCGCAGACTCCTGCAGGGAGGGCGGCCTATCGCAGACGCAAGAGTTCCAGGCGCTGGGGTCCCCCGCTCCGGCTCACTACACCTCCGTTTTCCTCAAAGACTTTTTGCCAGTCGTGCCGCACCCCTACGAGTCCCCGGAGCCATCCTTCGACACAGTTCCCCGGGACGCCTCGCAGCCCAACGGGGTCTTGCGGCGAAGGGCAGAAAACAGCACAGCGAAACCCTTTGCGCGCACTGAGATCCGCTTGCCGGGTGCCTTGGCCTTGGGGGGACGGCCAGAGAGAACCCCGGGAGTCCAAGCGCGCTGTACCCGCCAAGAGGGCGCGGATGCTGAGGCTTCGCGCCTCGCGGGGGACAGGGAGGGTCGGACCAGCCCGCAAGGCGGTGCTCGCTCCTCACCTCAGCAGTCCCCTAGAGCGCCTCCCCGGCCCCAGCCACCCCCGGAGGGCTCTCCGCAGGCGCGCCCCAACTCCAGCCCTGAAAAGCCACCCAGCCTGGAGACACCTGCGATGGCCCCCGAGCCCGCAGCTGCCCTACAGGCGCCCCTCCCGCCCCAGCCGCGCGCTGCCTCGGCGCCTCCCACGGACCGTTGCAAGCAAGGTCATTCCCAGGGGCCGCGGAGGCCGCCCGGGGCCTCGCACCCGGGAAAGGTTCTGGTGGACCCGGAGAGCGGCCGTTACTACTTCGTGGAGGCGCCGCGACAGCCGAGGCTACGGCTGCTCTTTGACCCTGAAAGCGGGCAGTATGTCGAGGTGCTGCTGCCCCCTGCATCCCCGGGGCTTTCCCGCCACGTCTACGCCCCGCTGGCCATGGGGCCTGGCCTCTACCCATCCGCCTATGGGGCCATGCCCGGCCTCGCACTGCCGCCTTCCCCGGGCCCGCCTGCCCTTGGCAGTCCCCAGATACCGTGGGCCTCGGAGGCAGGGGCCTTGGATGGGCTGTACTACCTGCCTGTGAGTGGGACCCCAAGCCCCACCCCACCCCTGCTTCTTTGTGCACCACCCTCCAACTCGGTCCCTCCCCGGCCAGGCAAGGGCTCAGTGGTACCCTTGTGAGGCCCCAGGCATGGCCTGAGCCCCAAGGTTGGGGTTCTTCGATGGCCTTGGAAGTTCTGGTTCCCAGTCCCCTGCTCTTTTCCTCCCATCACCTCCTTGGTCTTCCCCAGCTAGTCGTCAGACCAGAAGTGAGCTTCAGCGAGTGCATCAGAGGCTGATGGAGGTAGAGCTCAGAAAGTGGCTTCCTACTTCCTACCCCCAGAATGTATCCCTTTCCTAGGCATTCCCAGGTTTGGTGTGTTTGTGTATGTGTGTATGAAGGCAAGCAAATACGAAAAAATGAGGGGACAGCCCGGGAAGTGTTGAATTCCCGACCCCTCCCCAGAGAGCAGCCGGAATGGAAGAAGCAGGGACTGGGCTTCCCCTTTCCCAGTTGGGATCAGTTGATATGGAGCAGACCAGTGGGCTCTTTTCAGACTGGCGGGTGGTGCTGTATGAAATTCTTTGTTTGGAAGAGGAGCTGAGCTGTGGCCGGTAGGCCAGTGGCTGGTACAGCCTCCAGGCCAGGTTAGGTTTGAGAAAGGGTGCTGTGGGGACAACAGGTAGAAGTGAAGTGAGGAAGTAGCATAGTAGGCCAGGCTGAAGAGTCAGGCCGGTACTGGGAGTGAGAGGGCTGGGTTGAGGTGGGCCCTGGTGGCTGTGGTCTGCAGTGGGGAGCCTAGCTTCCTTCCTTCCCCTCAATCCAGTCTTTGGCTTTTCCTGGAAGCCCTCACAGTGGGGCTGGTTCATCTAAGGGATCCCGGCTTCTGCCACTCCCACCCATGTGGTGGGCAGGTGAAGTGAGTCACCAGGGAGGACTTCAAAAAGGAAAGAAGGAAGGAAGCAAGCAAGCTGTTGTTTTAGGGGAGCCAGTTGGCCCTTCTGGATGATTGAGGGTTGAGTTAGGGACAGCAATAGTAGGACAGAAGGGTGGGATGCTCTCAGCTGGTTTCACTCCCTCAGGAATAGATGTAACATCAATGCCCAAAGAGGGGCTGGCCTGCATACTGTCCCAGTACAGGAAGGGACAGGACCAAACCTGCACTTCTGAGATCCCAGGAGCTTCTGAGGAGGGCTGAGAGTACTGACAGAATCTGCATGAAGTGGAAGGTATGGAGTCTGTGGTTCTGAGCAAGAAATGCCTTGTTGGGCCAGGATGTGATGTGATACATTTGGGAAGGGACAGTTTCCATTAGCAGCAGCATCAGGAAGGGGAATCAGTGCCTTCCTGGGGCTTAGAATCCTTGTCTCCTGGACTGAAAGCTGATGAGGAGAACTGTGAGTCAGAATAAGTTGGACATCTCTTGGCCTCAGCATGGAGGGTCCTGGGGCCACCCTCATCTCATCCTGGACACAATAAATGGCTGACCATGCGCCATGGTAGCTGAAATGATGACTTGTGTAATGTGCCTCATTTCTTGCTGTGGCCGCTTAGCACCCTTCCTGATGCCCTTCTGTGCCTACCTATGGAGCCCAGAAAGGGGACCGTGGGTGCGTCCCACGCTGCAGCCTCCCTGCCTCAGTGAACTTGCTTCCCAGGGTGGGAGCCCCAGGCCAGCAGCCACGCCTGTGGCCAAGTTCCTCCTGGTGGCTGAGTGTCCAGTGTGTTTGGGGGTTAATCAGGTGTGGGTTCCATCGCAGCATAGGCCCTCTAGCTGGGGCATCTGTTCTGAGTCTTCAAGTCCTCAGGGACAGAATAAAGATGGCAGTGATCACCTTCTCCCACAGGGTGCTCAACACAACATCAGAACTTGGCCAGATTACATTTCATGGGAGCTGTAAGCCCTGCTGTCCTTACTTGGGTCCACCCCTCAGTGTTCCCTACCTGTGAAATGGGGCTGAGTTGTCTGAGCCCAGTTCCCACTAAAGAAAGAGCATACGTGTCATCTCTGGGGCCCTGGAGAAGGGGTGAGGTGTCAGTTCCCCATTGGTCTGGGCCAGAGGTGGCCCCACTGCGCAAATGCACACATCCGTACCCACCCACAGCCATACTCACTGAGCTGTTTCCAGCAACCATGAGGCTGTCACTGTTGCTGCTTTTAGGAGCCTGGGCTGTCCCAGAGGGGCTTGGGGACCAGGGCTTCCTCTCCGCTACTGCTCCACAACTGGATGAAGAGGAAAAGTACTCGGCTCACATGCCTACTCACCTGCGCTGTGATGCCTGCAGGGCCATAGCCTACCAGGTGAGTCCTGCACCTCAAGAGTCCCCTGGTCCCTACCAAATCTTATCTAAGCCAGACCCTTTCATCCACCTTGGATTCCAACATTGGTCCCCCATCTTCAACACCCCCATACAGCATTAAGACCCAGACACAGATTTCAATGATGTCTCTGTCTCTGTCTCTCTCTCTCTCTTTCTCTCTCTCTCTCTCTCTCTCTCTCTCTCTCTCTCTCTCTCACACACACACACACACACACACACACACCACCATGCCTCAGCTTCTGCTTTGCTTACCTCATCTGTCCACCAACAGCAAACAACCTGGAACCCTGAAGAACATTGACATACTAGGCTGTCACTCACTTGTCCTCTTTCAGACTCCTCCAACTGAATATGGTGGCACATGCCTGTAATCCCAGCACTTGAGAGGCTAAGGCAAGAGGGTCACTGTGAGTGATACATAGTGAACTCAAGGCCAGCCTGCACTACACAGTGAGATTCTGTCTCAAAATAATAATAATTAACCATCAATAATTAATTAAATAGGTTATGCTATAGAGCAGGTGTTCCCTGAGAAGGGACCCCATGCCTAGGCCTAACCTCCCACTTCAAGCTTTCCCTCCCTAGCCCAGAAAAGTGGATCCTGCCTCCGTTGACCTAGCCTCAGCTTTGGGCACTTGGGCGCAAGTTCTGCAGCCTGTCTCACAGGTGCTTCCGGTTCAAACAGCTCCCTCACCACTTTATTTTCCCCAAGAGACTTGGGCTCCCCTCCTCTCCTCTTGCAAACCTCAGCTTTGTCTTGTTCTAGATATGGCAACATTTGGCAAAGGCAGAGGCCAAGCTTCATGCCTCAGACTCCAGGGGACAGCAGGAGCTCAGTGAGTCAGAATACACAGATGTCCTGGACCGGAGCTGCTCCCAGAACTGGAAGAAGTGAGTTGCCAATCTAGGTCCTGCCTCCTTCCTCCAGGGATAGGGCTGGCAGGGATAGATCTCCAGCCTCCCACTCACCTTATACCCACACTCATGCCCGGTGTCACCAGTGTGGTGTGGAAACAGGTCCCTTTGTGGCCAGACTACCATTAATACTATGTTACTTTCTTCCCACTACCACCAGCTATGGGGTCCGAGAAGTAAACCAGATGAAACGTCTCATAGGCCCAGGGCTTAGCGAGGGGTCAGAGCCAAGTATCAGCGTGATGGTCACAGGAGGCCCCTGGCCCAACAGGTAATGAGAAAGTGGGAGTTGGGACTGAGGCCTTGGTTTGCCCCTCCTCTTCCCTTGTGCTGGGCAGAGTCTGAGGCTCTTGCTGGTCTCCCTTAGGCTCTCCAGAATGTGCTTGCAGTACCTGGGAGACTTTGGGGAAGATGAGATCTATGAAGCCCACCAGCAAGGCCGTGAGGCTGTGGAGGCCTTGCTATGTGGGGACACCCAGGGTCCTTGCTCAGCAGAGGCATCAATCATGAGGGAAGAACTCTAGCCCACAACTCCTCCTGGCCCTAAAGAAAAACTGGACCTCCTCTGACACTTTTCTGTGGAAGCTGGAGGGGGTGGGGTAGCCTAGCTCAGAGTTGTCCCTTTTGACCTTCCTCTACCCAAGGCACTGGGGCCTGGGAAAGACAAGACTTTCTTCTTTGGATTCAAATAAAACCTGGTGACCTAGATGTGTCTCTGCTAAAGCTGTTTGAAGGGCTGGAGGTTCTGATGTTGGGGTTTCTCAGAGGGCCCAGTACACACACACACACACACACACACACACACACACACACACTTTTTTTTTTTTTCAGAACTGGGGATTGAACTCAGGCCCTTGCGCTTGCCAGGGAAGCGCTTATTCCACTGAGCCATCTTCTCCCCAGTCCTCCCAGTACACATTTTGACAACTACTCACATGTAAGAGAACATGGATGGAAATGTATGTGAGCTCTGAAGAGCACATGGAAGCAGTTTGTAAGCACAGGAACAACAGCCCAGGTCCTCAGACTTGGCAGGAAGGAAAAAAACAAAAACCAACTTCAGGCAGCCATCTTGTGGCCACTCCTAGCATCTATTTACTCCTTGCTATCTCTGCCACTCCCTGAACAGTTCCTCACTCTCTGCCCTCTGACTCTGACCCCAGCTATTATGCTGGGGCACTGGGTGTCCACCTGGGACAGGACAGGGCAGTATTTCCGGAACCAGCCACATCAGCCTCCTGCCTCTTATTCTGCCCTTTCCTAAAATTCCTGTCTAGGGGCCTTGGGAACGGAGTCCCGGGCCCTACGTGGTCTGGGAACCAGGTAGTACTGCAACTTTTATTTTCTTTCCTGAGTGTCTCTGACCCACTAACCCTCTGTCACAGGGTAGGAAGAGGTAATAAGCCAGACAAAGTGAAGGCAGAGATGCCAAGTTTATTTGGTTTCTTTGAGACGGGGTCCCACTATGTAAATCAGGCTGGCCTTGAACTCACTATGTAGCCCAGGCTGGCCTCAAACTCATGCCTCAGACACCTGAGTGACTACAGGCCTAAGCCACCATGCCCTGTTCCTTTAGCACCTTAAAACTTTGGGACAGATCCCTGCTCAGATCTACAAGCAGGTGTGCTAGTCACTGGGAGTGTCTGTGCTACAACGTTTATTATTCAATTTGAATAGCCTATCTCATCCTCCTTCAAGATTGAGGCCACCAAGATAAGAGTGAAGTTTGCAGGACGTCTAATTGCCAGCTTTTACAACACCTAGGTCTGAATCCCCTGAAGCAATGCCTCATTGCTTCAAGTTACTTTTAAACCTGAAATCTTTTCAGATTCTAGATTTGTTTTTGGGTTTTTTGTTTTTTTGGGGTTTTTTTTTGGCAGAACCGGGGATGGAACTCAGGCCCTTGTACTTGCCAGGCAAGCACTTATTCTACTGAGCTATCTCCCTGGCCCCTCATATTCTAGATTTGAGGTCAAGCCCCAAACATAGTGAAAAAAATTATCCTTTGACAGGAATGGAGGCTGCCCTTAAAGGTGGAGCCTGAATCTCACCATGGGAACCAAATACTCCCTCAAGCAATGATGGCCCTCCCAGTATGTCCAAGAACCAGTCCTAAGATACTAATCAACCAGACCCTGACTTTATTATAGACAGCTAAATTATATACAAATTTTTTTAAATATTTATTTATTTTTATTTATTACATTTATTTATTGTGTGTGTGTGTGGCCAGCTCAGCCCACCAGGGGGCGGGTCTGGCTGGCATGTGGTGCTGGGGATTGAACCGCGGTCCCTGATGCTTTGCCAAGCTTGTTTCAAGTAGGTGCTTTAGACCACTGAGCCATCTCTCCAGCCCCTACAAATTAATATATAGTCAGAGACTGGGATACCAAGGAAGTTGGAAAAAAAAATCAGAATTGTCACTGGAGGGGTGGGGAGATGGCTCAGTAGAATAAGCGCTTGCCTGGCACACACAAGGGCCTGAGTTCAATCCTTGGTTCTGTGAAGTAAAAAAAAAAAAAAAACAACAACAAAGAATTGTCACTGGAGGGCCAGGGAGATAGTTCAGTGGCAGTGCCTGCCTGGTAAGTTCAAAGTTCTGAGTTCAATTTCTGATTTTAAAAAACCAGATTTGGGGGCTGGTGAGATGGCTCAGTGGTCTGGGGCACCTGCTTAGAACAAGCTTAGCAAAGTATAGCGACCACCGCGGTTCAATCCCCCAGCACCACATGCCAGCCCGCCCTGCCCCCTGGTGGGCTGAGCTGGCCACACACACACACACACATAAATAAATAAATAAAATTTAAATAAATAAATAAATAAATAAAAAACCAGATTTGTCAGTGAGGGCACATCTAATAATCAGACCTCAACATAAAGCTGCAGTGACCAAGCCTACGTGTGTCCCTTGAGGGAAAAGCACTAACTTAGAATTATACTATGGTCCATGAATACCACCTAAAGGCCACCTGGCTTAAAGAATACGCCTCCAGGGGCTGGTGAGATGGCTCAGTGGTCTAAAGCACCTACTTAGAACAAGCTTAGCAGAGCACAGGGACCGCAGTTCAATCCCCCAGCACCACATGCCAGCCAGCCCCGCCCCCTGGTGGGCTGAGCTGGCCACACACACACACACACACACACACACACACACAAATAAATAAAATTTTTAAAAAAATTTTTAAAAAAAAAAAAAAGAATGCGCCTCCAGCCATGTTTGTCTTTTGTACTGACCTCTGAGGCCCTGACCCTATCTGAGTCCCTATAATATTTCTAGAGATTTTTTTTTTTCAGTACCAAGGATTGAACTCAGGACTTTGTACTTGCAGGCAGGCGCTTATGCTGCTGAGCTACATCCCCAGTCCCTATAATATTCCTAAATAATTTAGCTATCTATAATACTTGTAATCTTATTAGTTGATTATAGTTTGACCCAGGTTGTACTGGCCTTGTGATTTTATGCTCACCTTGTGATTTTGCTCCATAAAACATTCATAGAAATGTAGCCTCAAAAAAAAAAAAAAAGAAAGAAAGAAAGAAAGAAAGAAATGTGGCTTTAACTGGGCATGGTGATGTGCACGGGTAATCCCAGCACTCAGGAGGCTGAGGCAAGAGGATTGTCAAGAGTTTGAGGCCAGCCTGGAATACATAGTGAGTTTAAGGCCAGCCTCAATTATAGAGCAAGACCTTGCTCAACAACAATTTGCTTTTCAGCCTTTGGCTAAGATCAAGTGGAAAAAAAGAAAAAGTAATCTGATGTGACATATACAGAAACTGAGGCTTAGAGGAGGCTCCGATCAAGTTTTAGGCTGAAAAGTGGCAGGGTTGGGAGGTGATTCAAATTTTGGAAGTGCAACCAAAGTGACTGCTGCAGTGTCCCAAGGAGGGCCTGGGGGCTCTTCTGAACCTCCCGAACCCCCATATCCCATCACCTATTCTAGGATCTGCCTGGGGCCCTCCTTCCCTGGCCCTCACCCCAGGAAAGCAGCCTCTGGCATCAGGAGAGCCAGGGCTCAAGGAACCAGCTGAACCAGCTGAGCCATCAGGAGTATGAGGTATGGGCCTAGGCGGACACCTGTGACAAGGACCTGCATGGCCCTGTGTTTGTGTGAAGACTGAGAGACTACACTACAGTCTGAGTGGGTCTCCTTGGGTGACTCTGCATCTGGACCCCTGCACCTTCCCAGGTCCAGAGGCATTGTGGTGAGTTTAGGGTTGGAGCTGTGTCTGGGAGGGTGGGACTGCCACAGCCCTCCCTGGAGCCTGGGGAGGACTTGGCAGGGAGCTGGGGGAGGCAAGTGTTAAGGGATTAAATGAAGCTGAGAGCAAATGCCAAACAGGAAAGGAGCAGACAGATGAACAAATAGGCTGCAGGCCAAACGACCAACAGGACCCAGGCTGTGCCGTGAAGCTGCTGCCCACCTGGAGAGCGAGGCTACCTATGGACACTCTGGACTGGGCCTGGTACTGGGCTCAGCAACTCAGAAGTAGGTGGGCCCTGGGGCACTGGGGCTACCACAGTTCAGAGAGAAGATGCAGATCCCAGGCTTTGCCTTCACCAGCTGAGATGCTTGAGTTTCTTAGGTTCCCAAAACCCCAGATTGGGGCTGGGGAGATGGCTCAGTGGAATAAGCGCTTCCCTGACAAGCATAAGGGCCTGAGTTCAATCCCCGGTTCTGAAAAAAAAAAAAAAAAAAGAAAGAAAGAAAGAAAGAAAGAAAGAAAGAAAGAAAGAAAGAAAGAAAAGAAAATCCAGATGCCCCTGAGACAGCTTTTAGGACCTTAGGCCAGGCCAAGGAGTAGGCGTGCAGGGAGGAGAGACAGACCAGGAACAGAAATGGCTTCTTGGGCTGTGTGACATAAGCACACAGGGCGTGGTACTTAGAAAGGCCCCAGAGTTCAAAGCTCTGCTGTTGCTATAGTTATTTTGTTTTGGTTTGCTTTGGTTTGTGAGTTTTTTAGAGACAGGTTCCTGATATATAGTTCAGGCTGCTCTTGAACTCACTATATAGCACAGACCAGCCTTGAGCTTGCAGAGATCCTCCTGCTTCAGTCTCCCTAGTGCTGAGGTTACAGGCATTTGTCAACATGTCTGGGCACTTGTTGGTATCTTAAAAAGTCAAAATACTTTTGAAATAACAGCATCATTCTCATTTTCACCGGGTCCCACAAACTATATATCAGCTCCTAGCAGAAAAGGAATCCTTGTCCTGACACAGGGAGAGCGAAGACTGCGATATAAATAAATTCCGGTGGGGAACCGGAATTTTAGGATTGATGTTCCAAAACCCTTGCTGCCGGGCTGGAGAGATGGCTCAGTGGTCTAAAGCACCTACTTGGAACAAGCTTGGCAAAGCACAGGGACCGCGGTTCAATCCTCCAGCACCACATGCCAGCCAGCCGTGCCCCCTGGTGGGCTGAGCTGGCCACACACATACACACACACACACACACACACACACACACACACTCTAAATGTTAAAATAAAATAAAAAAAACCCTTGCTGCCAGTATGGCTTCTGTTAAATCATGCTCCTAAATCTTTCTTCACTGTCATTAAAAGGGTAATATCACCCAGCCAAGGGTTATGCATGATGATGCGTATGCAAACATACTGTGGCTTGGCATAGAATCGTTCCTCAAGAGGAGAATGGGTATTGTGATCATGATAAAGACTGACCTGTTATTAATAAGTAGGGAAGGGCCTCCTGTGGACAGTGACATAATAAGTATGCACATTAAAAAAAAAAAAAAACCACACACGTACTCTCCCTTTCTTGTTAGCTTGCTCAGGGCTGGGTAAACTTCCAAGACTGTCCTCACCTCACCTTTTGACCATCCCTCGCTAAGAAAGCAAGAACAAAGTCTTGTGCCACACTCGTGTGCCCAGGAAGCGAACGTGGCAGAGGCCTGGGTGGCCTTCACCACATGGCCAGTTAATGCCTCACCCCTGCCCAGGTCCCTCTTTCGCAATCTGGAACCAGGGACCTGGTTACAGATTTACTTGGAACAATGTCTGATGTGTGGAGTAAAGTCCTCCTTGGACTTTGTAAAGTCATCCTCTCTTCTCCTCAGGAGCTTCTCAGACTTCTGCCCAAAGATGAGGGCTCAGGAAGACTCAGAGAACCAGACACAGGTGCTGGGGGACTGGAGGGAAGGGGACTTGCCATGGTTGGGGGGCTGAGGGGCCCGGCAGCCTCTCTGGGAGGCAGAGATAAGTCCTGACGAATTCGTTACAAGCAACAGTCCCAAGGTGAACATGGCAAATGAGGCATGGGGCAGAGGTGGAGGCTGACTTGGGCTTGGGGTGTAGGGGCCCAGCCACCTTCTTGGTGATACCCAAGGACTTCTAGGGGACAGTCAGTGGGACAGAGTGGGTTTATCTGCTGTCTGGCATCCTCTTGGCTCTTCTCACCCAGGCCCCATTCCCAAGGCCTGGGCCTGAGGGCATCAGGCATTTTCAGTCAGCAGGAAGCAAGTCAAGTGCATGGGAGGCAGCCCCAGGACAGCTAGGTGGATGGACAGCAGCGGAAGGTGGGCACCCCCAGCTTGGATCTCACTTTGAGGTGCCACTTGGGCCACCTGACTGATTCTGGGGCAGTGGTGCCTTTCCCACAGCTCTCTCCCCTAGGTATGGCTTTTCTCTGCTCCCCCAACAGGATTCCCAGGGCTCTGCAGGGGCTTCTGCTGGGAGCCCGAAGACACCCCTGCCCCCGGAGCCCAAATATGACATGCTGTACAAGATTGAAGACGTGCCTCCGTGGTACCTGTGCATCCTGCTGGGCTTCCAGGTGAGCCATCCTCAGGCCCCACCCTAGCACGCCCCATGGAGCCTGCCCTTCCCTGCCCCTGCACCACAATCTTATCTTGGGCAAGAGGAAGAGAAGCCTTAGGTCAGCTCAGGGGGGTGAGGGGTTGGGGGGAGGGCAGTGGAGACTGAGAGAGTGAGAGAGGAGTGCATGGGGCACAGGGAGGAGGCTCAGGGTAACCTGGGGGAGATTAGTGTCCTTGGGTGCATGTGCAATGGCTGTCTGGGAAGTCCCATAGGGAGTATCCTGTGGCTGGTGCACCCCAGAGTGGCCCAGGTCCAGGCCCGCTGAGGTAGGCATGAGGACTGTGGGTGCCTCTGTTTCTCTGTCTGCTCTGGGGTCCAGTCTCACACACTCCCTTTTCACCACCCCCAGCATTACCTGACCTGCTTCAGCGGCACCATCGCTGTGCCCTTCCTCCTGGCTGAAGCGCTGTGCGTGGGCCGAGACCAGTACATGGTCAGCCAACTCATTGGCACCATCTTCACATGTGTGGGTGTCACTACTCTCATCCAGACCACACTGGGCATTCGGTGAGCCACCCCCTCCCCGCCCTCAAACACATGTATGTACACACACACACACACACACACACACACACGGGTACACTGTAACACACACAGCAATAGCAGGAACAGGGAGTCTTGCTCAGAGCACTTTATGGAGAAAAAAAGAAATCCAAAGCAAGCTGGTAATGGTGACGTACACTTGTAATCCCAGCACTGTGGGAGGCTGAGGCAGGAGAGTCTTAGAGCCATGGGATAAAGAAAATGTGGTATTGCCAGGCATGGTGGTGGCACATGCCTGTAATCCCAGTACTCAGGAAGCTGAGGCAGGAGGATCATTGCAAATTTGAGACCAACCTGAACTATAAAGTGAGCTCAAGGTCAACCTGAACTGCATAGTAAGACCGTGTCTCAAAAAAAAAAAAAAAAAAAGACCAAAAAAAAAAAATGTGGTAGACAGGGGATATAGCTCAGTGGCACAAGCACCTGCCAGGCAAGCTCAAGGTCCTGAATTTGATTCCTGGTACAATAAGAAAGGCACCAGAAAATGTGGTATTTATATACCATGGAGTAGTACTCTGCCATAAAGAAGAATGAACTTGAGAGAAGTAAAATGGATACACCTTGAAACCATACTTTTAATTGAAATAAATCTGACACATATGTTTAAATGTCAGATTAGTTCTCTTGTATAAGAAACCAAATGCATAAAGAAGGACCAAAATGGATGATAGATATTGGCAAGAAGGAAGAAAATGTTCAAATAGGTAGAGGAACAAAGGAGGGGGAGAAGGGAGGGGAGGAAGGGAAAAGGAAAAAAAAGAGAACAGAAGGAAAGATGGAAACAAAGCTTTTGTAAATAAGGAGGGGAGGCCCGGAAGATGACTCAGTGGAATAAGCGCTTCCTTGGCAAGCACAAGGGCCCAAGTTCAATCCCTGGTTCCGCCAAAAATAAATAAATAAATAAATAAATAAATAAATAAATAAGGAGGGGAAAAGGATAGAAGGCAGGTAAGGTTGATGGGAAAAAGAAAAGGAAGAATCAAGGTGCTTCATGCACAGGCATAAATTCCCTCTGATGAATGTGATCATTGTGTATATCAAAGGTGTACCGATTGGGGCCGGGGAGCTGGCTCAGTAGAATAAGTGCTTGCCTGGCAAGCCCAAGGTCCTGAGTTTAATCTCCGGTTCTGGAAAAAAAAAAAAAAAAAAAGTGTACTGATAAAATTAACTTTCGAACAGTTAGAACCCAGCCTGGACAATGTAGAGACTTAGTGAGACTCTGTTTCAAAATTCAAAAAATAATACATAAAAAGGGCTGGGGATATAGATAAGCACAAAGGCTCTGGGTTCAATCCCTAGTACCACAAAGGCAAAACAACCCAACCCACTGTCTGCGCCTCCCTGCTGCTCCTATCCTGGACCAGCCTTAGTGCTAGGAGTTGGATGCTGATGCTTGGATCCCCAGGGTAGGGAGCTCCTGTTGTGTTTCTCAAACTTGAGTCTGGATAGTTGCTGGTACTTGGGATTAAATCTAGGGCCTTTCCACTGAGCTACACCCCCAGCCTCTACCCTTTTCCCCTTTTTTAAATTTATTTTTTATTTTTATTTTTATTTTTATTTTTTTGCAGAACTGGGGATTGCACTCAGGCTTGTGCTTAATCTACTGAGCTATCTCCCTGGCCCCCCTTTTTTAATTTTTAATTTTTAAGTTAGACATTGTGGTACATATCTGTAATACTAGCACTAGGCAGGCTGAGGCAGGAGGAATCACTGTGAGTTCAAGGCCAGCCTGAGCTACATAATGAGTTCAAGGCCAGCCTGGAATATATAGAGAAACTTTGCTTAAAAAGGGGGGGGGGCGGCTGGGAGATGGCTCAGTAGACTAAGCGCTTCCCTGGCAAGTGCAAGGGTCTGAGTTCAATCCCTGATTCTGCAAAAAAAAATTAAAAATTAAATAAATATGTTTTTTAAAAAATTAGAGACAGTTTTACTATGTCACTAAATTACCCAGGCTAGGTTTGAACTTGAGATCCCACTTTCTCATCCTCCCAGGGTGCTGAGATTACAGACATGCACCACCCTGCCCCGCTTTCCTCCTCATAAGGGCCACTCTGTGTGCACAGGGGCACTCTTTTCCCTGCCCTGATGGCCTGACAGCCTCTGGGTCTGTCTGGGCCACTGGGGACAGGGCGGTAGTTTGATGTGCAGTGGGGGGTGAGGAAGATATGAGCAGAGCTTGGGGGCCAGAACAGAGCAGCTCTCTTCATTCCCTGGGCCCCTCATGAACTGCTCCATGCAGGAGGGAAAGGACAGGTTCATGCTAAGGCAGGCAGTTGTCTTTTGCTTTGGGCCTGTCCTACTGGGGCCTCAGTGACCTCTCTCTGTCCACCCATGCCCATGTCCCTCTGTCTCTGCCTTGCCTCTACTCCTCTTCCACCTACCCTATCCCTGGCACCCTACATCTCTCCTCTAGGCTGCCCCTGTTCCAGGCCAGTGCCTTCGCATTTCTGGTTCCAGCCAAAGCCATCCTGGCCCTAGAGAAGTGGAAATGCCCACCAGAAGGTGCGCCCATTTGGGGATCCTGGGGCTGGAGAGGGGAGGCCCTAGGGTCTGTAGGTCTGGGAAGATGTCCTGAATGCAAACAGCAGGGTGTACTCACCACAGCATTTTCTCTCCCTGCTGTCTACTGTCTGTGTGTCCCTCTTTGCCCCAGAGGAGATCTACGGTAACTGGAGTCTGCCTCTGAACACCTCTCATATCTGGCAACCACGGATGAGAGAGGTGGGTAGAAGGCCCAGGGGCTGGGGTAGGGGTACTAGATAGGAATAAAGGCCTCTGTTGACCTGTGGGGACTTGTGGAGGCAGTTGAAGAACTGCTAGTGGCCAGGTCACAGTCTATATGGTGACTTACTCTGACTTTGCCCTTCTAGATCCAGGGCGCAATCATGGTGTCCAGCATAGTGGAGGTGGTGATCGGGCTGATGGGGCTGCCTGGGGCTCTCCTCAGCTACATTGGGCCTCTCACGGTCACCCCCACTGTCTCCCTCATTGGCCTCTCTGTCTTCCAAGCTGCTGGCGACCGAGCTGGCTCCCACTGGGGCATCTCAGCTTGGTAAGCAGGCACCAGGCCTGATTCCTTCCCACCCCAGCCCTGCCTTCCCACTCCTTTAGTCCTGGCCCTTTAGTCCTGGCTCCTGGCCTCAGCCTGGACTACCAGTCACCTCCTCCTTGTGCCTCTGCCTCCAGCTCCATTCTCCTGATCGTCCTCTTCTCTCAGTACCTGCGCAATGTTGCCTTCCCGCTGCCTGGCTACCGCTGGGGCAAGGGCCTCACTCTTTTCCGCATCCAGATCTTCAAGATGTTTCCTGTGAGGAGCTGACAGGTGGCTGGGGCAGGGACTAGAGCAGGGCCTAGCTGAGGGGTCCGATCTCTGCTCAGGGCCAAGGTGAGGGAAATGGCAGAGATAGCATGGGAACCAGAGTAGAGATGCGGTCCTAGCCAGAGCTGGAGAGGGCTGCATCTGAACACTACAGGGGCTGAGGCTGGGCCAAAGTAGGACTGGTTATCTTGAATGGAGATGGCAGTGCCTGCAGCTACCCTTCAACCCACTCTGCTTCAGATTGTGCTGGCCATTATGACTGTGTGGCTACTCTGCTATGTGCTGACACTGACAGATGTGCTGCCCATGGATCCAACAGCTTATGGCTTCCAGGCTCGAACTGATGCCCGTGGGGACATCATGACTATTTCACCCTGGATCCGCATTCCCTATCCTTGTAAGCACTCCTGCTTGGGCCCTTCTGGCCCTGACTGGAAACTTGTGAGATCCCTGGTGGGCCCGGTTCATCTGATGACGGAACTAGTGCTAACCACAGCCCCCCACACATACACCAGAGAGAGAACCTAAAGTCTTTGTACTATGTCCCAGTCCTTTTTTATTTTGAGGTAGTCTAAGTTGTCAAATTGCTCAGACTGGGTTGAAAGTTGTAATCTTCTAGCTTCAGTATCCCAGGGTGCTGGGATTACCAGCATGTGTCAGTTTCCCTGTACCCAGGTTTGTCACAGATTTATAGTGTGCCAAGAAGAGAAGTGTTATCTTAGACAAATGCCTCACTCCAGCTCTATGCCTCTGAATACCCCAAATAATTGCATAGTGCCTACCTCAGCGTGAGGCCTCCCCACCACCAGCTCCTCTCTCCCTCAAGAACTGTCCTGTGCATTTCCGGGATCCCTGTCCCTGTCCCTGGGGTGAGCTGAGACAGCAACTGAGACTGGGCGTGGTGGCACGCGCCTGTAATCCCAGCTCTTAGGAGGCTGTAAACAGGCAGATCATTACAAGTCCGATCTAGCAGTGAGACCCTGAACACCCTGTAGACCCTTCCATAAAATAAAAAAAAAAAAAAAAAAAAAAAAAAACAAAACCAAAAAGCAAAAAAAACCCCAAAACCACCAAACAAACCCAAAACAAAACAAAACAAAAAACCTCACTGTATCCAGTCCTCCAGGGCTCCTTGCTGTAGCCACCCTCTTGCCTTCCCCTCCAGGTCAGTGGGGCTTGCCCACAGTGACCGTGGCTGCTGTCCTGGGAATGTTCAGTGCCACACTGGCAGGTATCATTGAGTCCATTGGAGATTACTACGCCTGCGCTCGTCTGGCTGGTGCACCGTCCCCTCCAGTCCATGCTATCAACAGGTATGCTCACCTGCCCACCTCAACTGCCGAGCCCCAGGAGGGGCCACTTGGGAAGGAAATGTAGGGATGGGCTTGAGTGCCAAGAGGTGCAGACATAAGCAGGGAGGCTCACACCCCTAGACCTTGTTTTCCTTGAAAGTAGAACAATAGTTCTGAGTTTTGGAACCTGCTGAGGAGGTACAGTCACAGGGAAGCCACAGTCATTGACAACCTTCCGTGTGCCCACTTCTTCCTGTTGTTTCTCTCAGGCAATCCGATAGCCATGAGAAAGGCTCTACTTTACTATATCTCCACTGGACTGGTGAGAACATGAAAGTCCAATTGCCTAGGGCACTTGGCCCAGCGTCAGCACCAGGGCTCTTAGTTTCCAGACCTCCTTGTGGCCTGGAGCGCGACTTCACACCGGCAGTGACAGCCCGCACCAACCCAGAGGTGCAGGAAGTGTGATGGGGTAATAGGAGGACAGTTTGTGAAGAGACTGGTGTAAACCCCCGCTGGTCCTTTCATTACAGGGGCATCTTCATCGAGGGCGTCTGCTGCATTATCGCGGGACTGTTGGGCACGGGCAATGGGTCTACCTCGTCGAGTCCCAATATCGGCGTCCTAGGGATTACCAAGGTGCCGCCACCAGCCAGGGCAGCACAAAATTCTGTCAGGTTCCAATCCACCACTGGCACAACCCCATGCCGGACCCATCGGTCTAGCCCCGCCCCGTGTTTGAGAGGCCAACGCCCCTAATGAAAGCCCGCCCACCTAGGCCCGCTTCTAGCCCTAACCTAGCGCGTCCTGAGTCCGAGCCCCGCCCCTGGCTTCCTGGCAGGTGGGCAGCCGCCGCGTGGTGCAGTATGGTGCGGGTATCATGCTGGTCCTGGGCGCCATTGGTAAATTCACCGCCCTGTTTGCCTCGCTCCCCGACCCCATTCTGGGGGGCATGTTCTGCACTCTCTTCGGTGAGTGCCTGGTGCGGGCCTGGGTATGGCTGCATGGGTCACCAAGTGGCCTCGCTCAGCCCTGAGGGTCTGTGTTTTCCTGCCCCCGCAGGGATGATCACGGCTGTGGGGCTGTCTAACCTGCAGTTTGTGGACATGAACTCCTCCCGCAACCTTTTCGTGCTGGGTTTTTCCATGTTCTTTGGGCTTATGTTGCCTAATTACCTGGATTCCAACCCCGGTGCCATCAACACAGGTGCTTGCTGTTGGGGGGTTGGGGGGGATCCAAACAGCCTGGGGCTGTGTAGCTCAGTGGAAGAGCACTTGCTTAACATTCACAAAACCTTTGGTTAGACCTCCGGCACTGCAAAAACAAAAAACTCTGAGCACAGCCCATTCCCTCCAAAACTTCAGACTTGTAGAGCCACAAATTCTTCTTCCCAAATCTGGAAGTTAGTATCCAAGAGCTCATTAGTAGATGTTCTTTACTAAAATACTTTCTGTGGATAGGTTTTAAGCATTTACTTACATATGCTATGTAATTTTATTTTATTTATTTATTTTTTTTCCGGAACCGGGGATTGAACTCAGGCCCTTGCGCTTGCCAGGCAAGCACTTATTCTACTGAGCTAACTCCCCGGCCCCTATGCTATGTAATTTTCAAAAAAGCTCCATGAAACATACTATTATAATTTTCACTCAGCACTATTAAATGATTTGTCTCAAGTCAACAACTAGCAGTTGCCAGAACTGGGATTTGCACCAAAGATGGGAAGGACAGAGGTAAAGATATTGAAGGGCCAGCACACTGAGACAGAGACTGAGATGGGGCTCATGCCTGTAATCCCAATGCTTGGGAGGCTGAAAATAGGAGAGTCACTACAAGTCTGATCTGTGTAGTGAGACCCTGTAGATCCTATGCTAAAAAGAAAGAGAGAAAGAGAAAGACTAGAAAAGAAAGAAAGAAAGAAAAAGATAAACTTGGGCTGGCGAGATGGCTCAGTGGTCTAAAGCACCTACTTGGAACAAGCTTGGCAAAGCACAGGGACCGCGGTTCAATCCCCACATGCCAGCCAGCCCCGCCCCCTGGTGGGCTGAGCTGGCCACACACACACACACACACACACACACACTAAATAAATAAATAAATAAATAAATAAATGTTTAAAAAAAAAAAAAGATAAACTTGAAAGTCAGGGCTCTGTGCAGTTCCCAGGTCACGACTGCTCAAGGAAGTCAGTAGTTTGCACAGGAGGGAAGCCCCTGGGCTCTGCTCACTGGAGTGCTATGACACCCATTAGCTCTTGGCCTGTTCCACAGGGATTCCTGAAGTGGACCAGATTCTGACTGTGTTGCTGACTACGGAGATGTTTGTGGGCGGATGCCTTGCTTTCATATTGGACAACACAGTGCCAGGTATGGGTCTTACAAGGCAGCACAAAATGAGATTTGACTTGTATGTAGTCCATCAGATGGCCACCAAGTTGGGGATGTGGCCAGGTCCAAGGCAGGCAGGAGGAGGCCCTGGGGGAGCAGTAGGAGCAGATGGGCTGCTGGAATGCCTGCTGGTTAGAGGGAAAGAGGCATAGACCATGGCTTGTAGGTCTTGGAGTGGGCGAGGCCAGTAGTTATTTCTGGGTCCTATGAAAGGAAACCTGTGTGTGTGTGTGTGTGTGTGTGTGTGTCTGTCTGTCCATCCGTCTGTCTGTCTCCTGGGTCTAAAGTGGTCTACCTCTGAGCTATACCCTTAGCCTTTTTTGAGACAGGGTCTTTTTTTTTTTTTTTTTTGTGGAACCAGGGATTGAACTCAAGCCCTTGTGCTTGCCAAAGAAGTGCTTATTCTACTAAGCCATCTCCCCGGGCCCTGAGACAGGGTCTTGCTAAATTGTCCAGGCTTGCCTTGAACTTGTGATCCTCTTGCCCCAGTTATGATTACAGGTGTGCACCATCATGCCTGGCTCCTTTTCCTTCCTATTTCTTACAAACTCAGTTTTTGTTTTTTTTTTTTTTTTGTTTTGTTTTTTTTGAAAATGTATCAGGTATTTAATTAGGTTCTTAGTAAGAAATTTAGAACACTAATTTATGAGGGTAAATTCCATTTGTCAGAGCAAAAACGGATCGCAGGTAGCCCCGGAGCTGAGGAACACCTTTGATTTTTGCCAAAATCTGTGAGTCCACCGCTTTCTGATCCACCTTGCGCTGCTCTGAAATCTGGTATCTCTCTTTCTCGGTGTCGAAGATCTCGCCCTCCTGGTGTCTGGGCTTCCGCAGCTTCTTCTTCTTAAAGTAAGCATCAGTGAGGTGTTTGGGGATTTTCACTTTGCTGATGTCAATTTTTGTAGAGGTGGCAATGACAAATTTCTGGTGTGTTCTTCGTAGAGGAACACGATTAAGGCTCAGAGGCCCAGTCACAAGTAGCAAGCCACTCTCCAACTGCTTCAGGAAGACCACTCTCTTGCCTCTGTGACGCCCAGTGAGGATGATCAAGATGGTGCCGGGAGTGATGCTAGCTCGAAGTTTCCTCACATGCTGACTGAAGGGTTTCTTGCCGTGGCTCAAGAGCTTTCGGGGCACATCTTCAGTAGGGTAGTACCTAGGCATTTTTCGAAGCTTAACCACCCGGCTACCTCCATTCTTGTCCCCACCGACCGGTTTTGTGATGGTAGCAAGAACTTTCTCCTTTTTCTTCTCAACCTTTGATTTAGCAGCTGTGTACTTTCTCTTGTACAAAGCCTTTCTGGAATACATGGCAGATCGGGAGTATCTACCAATTCCTCTAACTAGGACAGGATTTCGGCTGCAGTGGGGCTGCCCCTTCTTGGACTTTTTTGCCTTCTTCACCTTACCCTTTTTACCAGTGCCACTGGCAGAAGCCTTCTGGGCTTCAGGTTTCTCCTCTTTAGTGTCTGGCTTCTCAGTTTTTTCACCCGCCATCTTGCAAGATGGGAAAGAGGTACAAACTCAGTTTGTTGGTAAAATCCACCCCAAATATATTAAGACTACCATGCTGGCTAATAGAAGAATCCCACATGTACCTTTGGTAGTAGAGCATCTTGTAGGGATTGTGCAGGATAGTTTGTGGTGTACCAAGTACAAGTGTGTCCAGTAAATATATTTAAAAAAAACCCCAATGTCATCAGGCACTCTAATAAGCATATGAGTCAGATATGAAGCTAAGTATCTCATTTCACCCTTAAAAACTATGACCACATGGCAAAAGCCTGTAATCCCAGCACTTGGGAGACCCAGTCAGGAGGATCACTAAAGCCAGCGTGGGCTACATAGTGCATTCAAGGCCAGCCTGAGCTACATGGTGAGACCCTGTCAAAAAAAACAACAAAACAAAAACAGAAACTATGACCACAGCCAGTCTCAAAGTTGGACAGCACAAATCTTTTTTTTTTTTTTTT